TCCTTTTTGTTTTTTGTTTTGAAAATTAGATTTTTGTTAATTTGATATAATTTTTATATTTTTATATTTAATTTTATATATTTGTATTTTATTTAGATCCCCTTCTTTATCTGTACCCCCTCTTACTACCCCTCACCCAATTTCATATATATGTCTATAGAGTCAGATTTTTGTCCCCCCAAAACCCTTTGGTGTGGGTTCATCCACTACAGCTTGGAGTCTCCCCCTTAAACAGAACTGACTCTCCACTTGCCAGCAGCTGCCACTTGCCAATACTTCCTCACATAGGATGTGGGTTTCTTATCCACTTCTCCATGTCCGTGCTGGAATTTTGTCTGGCTTGAGCTTTCATGGGACTTGTGCATGCTGTCACCATTGCTGTGAGTTCATCTGAATAATTAACGAGCTGTCTGGAAAATTTGATTGCTTGTGGTCATCTACCACCTCTGGCTCTTACAGTCTTTCCACCCCTCTTCTGTGATGATTCCTGAGCCTTAGGAGGCAGAAGTTTGATACAGGTGTCCTATCCAGGGATAAGCAGTCTGCAGCTTGTATTCTCTGCAGGTTGACCAGTTGTGGTTCTCTGTGTTAATCATCATCAGCTGCATAAAGAAGCTTCTCAGTGAGAGTTGAGAGCTGCATTAATCTGAGTATAACAATAGTCATTAGGAGTCAGTTTCATATTGTATTAATTTAGCAGAATAATAGTATTAGGCATTCCCATATAGTCTGTGACCTTCCTAACCTTGGGTTCCTAGGCCTGATATCAAAATCAAGTAGGGACTCCATCCTATGGACTTTAAATCCAATTAGAAAGTGGTTGTTTGCGCCCATAATATTTGTGCCACTATTGCACCAGTGGGCTTATCTTGTAAGCCAGTTGTTGGAGCTTGCGGGATTCACACCTGGATATGGTTGATGATTAATTTTCTCTTCAGGTAGCATGCATAGCACTTTTCCAAACTATGAAAACTAGCCAGTAGAGATGAAGCTTCGAAGTCAGCACCAGCTTGACTTCTGTTTGATTGTTCTATAGCTCATGTGTCTAATGTCTTTAGCAATAGGGTCTTACCATCAAGTTTTGGAGGGTAACCAAGCATAGGGGCAATGACCTATATTGTTGAGGGTCTATGGGACCCCCTGTCAACAGCTTCAAAAAGGAAGTTCATTTCTAGCATTTGGCTTTTTTTTTTTTTGCTAGCCTGTGGTGTCTAGTGGGCATAATGTCCCTCTGTTACAAGGCAACCCCTTTTAATTTCCTTTTACAATGCATATGTATACATTTTAAGAAGCTTCTATAATGGTAGATTTCCATATAGCTTTTTCTAAAGGCCTTTAGGGTTACTGATCCCTCCCACACTCCCTCCTCTGCCCTGCCCTCCCAATCCTCACCCCATTTAACCCTTCCTACTCCATTATTCCCCTTTCCTTCTTTACATCACTATATTCATTCTACCTCCTCTCCCAGGAACAGCACACCCCCTCCATGGCCATTTGTTAGTTTCTTGGCCTCTCAGGATTTTCAAATTGAAATGCATGTCTAATATTTCAAAGCTAGTTTCCAAATATGAGAGAGAACATGCAACTTGTCTTTCTGGGTCTGGGTTACCTCACTCAGAATGACTGTTTCCAGATCCACTCATATACCTGTGAATTTCAAATTCATTTTTTAAAAGAACAGAATAATATTCCATTGTGTATATGTACCTCACCTTCATCCATTCATCAGTTGATGGATTTCTAGGTTGTTTTCATTTCCTGGCTATTATGATAAGGGCAGTAATGAACATGGATGAATGGGTATTTCTGTAGTAGGATATAAATCTTTTGGATATATTTCCAAGAACAATATGGCTGGGTCATATGGTAGATCAATTTCAAACTCGCTGAGGAATCTCCACACTGATGTCCATAGTGGCTGTACCAGTTTGCACTCCCACCAACAGTGACTAAGAGTTCCCCTTTCTCCACAGCCTCACCAGCATTTGACATTGTTTATTTTTCACATCTTAACCATTCTGAAAGGGGTAAGATGAAATCTCAAAGTGGTTTTAATTCACATTTCCCTGATGACTGAAGATGCTGAACATTTTTTAAAGAATTTCTCAGTCATTTGCATTTCATATTTAGAGACCTCTCTCTTCAGATTCTTGCCCCAATTTTTATTGGGCTGTTTGGTTTTTTTGATGTTTAGTTTTTTTAGTTCTTTGTATATTCTAGATACTAACCCTCTGTCAGAAGTATAGCTGGATTTTGAGACAGTGTCCCAGTGTGTAGCACTGACTGATCTAGAGAACTCACTGTGTAGACCAGGCTGGCCTGGAATTCACAGAGATCCACCTGCCTACACCTCACAACTGTTTGGTTTAAAGGTGTGCACCATTATTCCCAGCTTTCCCCCCTCCTTTTTGCATTAAATTTAAATACTTTAGAAAGCACAACTAAGATTATTATAATACAATAAGTAAAAAATAAAATAAATATATAACAGCACATTAAAACTTCCATAATAATGTAAGCATTCATATATAATATTGTATTACTAATAGTAGTCTTATCTTCATATTTTTGGAGTCTCTAGAAATACTAAAGAAAACATTCATAGCAGGAAGAGAATAGAAATATAGGGTGAGCTACATACTTAATTTTAAGCTGTATTATACTCATATTTCAAAGTCAAAAGAACATGAAACTTGATTTCAATAACGTTTTAATCTAAGCATATTATGTTTTACATTTCCAATAGTAACCTGTTCAGTTCAGAGTAGCCACACTTAAAGTGTTCAGTAACCACTGTGTTTAGTTACAGCTGTTCTGAGCATCCCAGACTTAGAGCATTGATTTGTAATCGCACAATGGATTAATTTTCTGATTATGGAGAACAGAATATCTTTGTCTTTGTGTAACAGTGCTCCTGATATGTGCTTTATCTAAATGTGAACTGGCAAAAAGTAGCAACAATATATAGTCTTGAGGACTTAAAACATAGAAAGTGTTAAAATTTGGGTGAACAACCATCATTGTGATATTTTTTTAATGCCCATAGAGAGCTGAGGTGTTTTAGATAGTAGTAGATCTATTGCTTAGCACTTTTAAGGTCCTGAGTTTCCCAGCACCACAAAGTAA